TCTGTGATTTTGCAGCATCTGGTGGACATCTATTAAGTTTCTCCACAGGATTCCCGGGAGTTGACGCGCTTGGTTTGGCCGACCTCTTCATCTATGACGGCTTCTGTTGCCAAAACTATCAAGGGTAGACCCGGGTAGACCCCAGGAATTTAAAAGGTGAAGGGTTGAATTCTTCTCTCATCCATATCTGTTACTCGGTCCCCGAATAAACTTTGAAACTATGGAACCATGTGCTTTCTTTATTCTCTCGTCTTTTTTTTTTACCGCAAGGGCTTATGGGTAAATACACTCACGGGTGCTCATGGATCACGGACCTCACATATCAAACAGCTCAAAGTGACCAGAATAACGATCGCCGAGAGAACAAAAAGGCGTGAAATTTAGAAATATAACAACATGGCAGTCGATCCAACCACATCAACTTTGAGAGTTCGTATAACATTCACGGAGCTCCAACGCAGTAATTTGAAATAGCCAAAACGACGTATATGTAACTATCTTCGTTTTCCAATTGTCGCATTTCCCAAGAATCTCAACACGTTGCAGGTTATAGACTTTTCTTGTGAAGTCTTCCCTCTCAAGTACTTTGTTCTTTACCGCGAAGGCTATTGTTTAAATGGAGCTTACCGATTGGCCGAAATTTGTGACGCACACCGCTTGCGATGCAAGCTAAAACTAACGAAACGACTGTCTTAGTTGTAATCAACTAACTACAAGAGTTATCTAATAAAACCAACCCGCTTATTGACGAGAAATAAATAGCTACTTGCGTTTCGTAATTTTTATTTAATCCCAAGCAAAAACGTGAACATATTGAAAAGAAATAAAACATCAAATTAAAGTAGTACAGAAGAATGAAAAGCGAAACTGATTATTTTGCAGTCGCTTGACAATGAAAAGAAATCAAATTTTTCATTAATTAATGGAAATACTTATGAACTTATCGTAGAGTAGATAAAAGGCACCTACCTTCCAATAGCAATTGTTTCTAAGATTTAAAATTTCTAGTTCAATTATTTTTCGATCCCCTTGCTCGCTAAATTGGAGAAGTCCAGTCATACCATGGAGGATAACCTGTTTCATTGGGAGAAATGTTAACGTAACTCAGCTGTACGCACGCATTTTGGTTTGGGGTAGTGGGATTCTTGGATTTTATTGCCACAATCCCCCTTCGAAAAAGAAATAAAGAAAGCGCTATTTTCTTCTACTAAGAATAAGTCATAGCACTCAGATTAAAAGGAGAAACTTTGATAAAAGTCATTTTCCTCTTTAACAGATATAACCTGAGAATTCAGTGAGAATGCCTAGGAAGGAAAAATTTGCTCACCTTTCTCATGCATGTCAACATTGTGTTCCTATCTTCGAGACGAATATCAGAACCATTAATCGACGAACAAGGTTCGGTATTCGCTGCTTCCTGGATGATTTGGACGGCATCATGACTAACAGCAACTAGTTCCTGAGGTAATAGCGAGAATAATTTCCTTAACTTTTCATGGTGACGGGTCGAACGGTGAAGAGATCACGATAATGCTTCATTGTTAGGCCGAGAAATTATAGAGATCGTTGTACAGAGAACTGATACTTATTGAGAGTATATTGTTTAAAAACCATACAAAAACCACCTTTGCGATTGTCCTCAA